TTTTATTGCTTTCTTAATTAATGCACCTCACCCTGCAAACCGAACCTGCAATTTCATTGGACTTTGTGTTAAAGCTTCCCTTCCACCAATGTAGGTTGTTGACATGCACATCTTTTCATGTGCTACAAAGCATTCTGTTTTATGGCTTTGTTCTGCTTGGCTCTACAGCCTTCTTTTACTTTTGATTTAGTTTGGTGACATTTTTCCTAATTTTATTGTATTTTCTTGGCAGCCCGCTATACAAGCATGTTCTTATCAACCCAAAGCACTCTGCTTCTTTTTTAGTTTCAAAAAGACACGTCTCCACTTTCTCTTCCAGCTTTTAGTTTAGGAATCAACTCGTCCTTTGCCAGTATAATCCCTGTTTATGAACATGCTACATCTTCCTGTTTTTTGTGGTTGCTGTCCTTGCTAAATAGTAAATAGACTGGTTATTATAGCGCACTTTTCTACTCTATCAGAGCACTCAAAATGCTTCATACAATTTGCTTCGTTCACATTTGTTCAGACAAGCACTTTTTTTTCAAAGCGTAAATGCCTTCTATTCATACACATTTATACTCTGAAGGAAGTGTAAGGATATTTGGCATGCAGACTGAGAGCAGCCAGGCACCAAACCACCAACCTTCTGATGTAGATGACCCGCTCTGCATCCTGAGCTACTTTCATTTGATGACACTGTCATCTGAGCAGCTTTTCGCTATACGAATACAGGCCATTTTTACCATAACAGTGTTTTGTGAAAGGTCCAAATAAAACCAGCTGTATTCATATCTGTATAATGTATTCATTTTCATTTCAGTCAGAATCAGAGTCATTAAAAGAACAAGTAAATCTCGGGTGGACAATGACACGTGTAAATGATAATGGTCACAAGCAGCTTCATTAGTAATTAATCCTTTGAGACTGCTAAATGATGGCTTCATATTAAATACACATAATGACACCTACAGCACATCCATGCTGTCTTTCATCGGTGGCAGAGGAAGAAATCAGAGCTGTGTAGGTGATCATTTCTGGCTGAAATATATCTGCAACACTGCAGGACATCGTTATGAACACAAGAGGACACTCACACACTTCAGCAAAGGAGAGTGAGTGCATTTGTCTGTGTGTGTGTGTGTGTGTGTGTGTGTGTGTGTGTGTGTGTGTGTGTGTGTGTGTGTGTTTAGCTCACAGTCACTGAACTGAACTGTAAAAATAACATTTTCAAGATCAGAAGAAATCATTGGTGTGAAGATTAATCTTAGATTTCAGACAAGTATTAGTTGCATCTAATGAGTGCAGAGGCTGTACTGATGTGTATCTGTCATGATACACATACGTGTGCTTGGCATGTTGCTCTGTGTAATGTTAGAAAATAAGCAGTGACAGCTGTAATGCCTTAGTAATGAGCCCACTGTGATCCTTATTACTTAAGAGTCTTTACCTTACAGTACAAAGGTCATTGAGGGGACCTTTGATTTGGTGCTTTCTAAATAAACTTGAACTGAGTTAAACTGAATCCAAAGCATTTAAAAGAATGAACAGTTCACAGGCACCAGGTGAAAATTTAAAGGAAAACTCTCCGGTATTGTGTTTCACTTTTTTTATAGAGTCCTTGCTGAGTCAGCACATACCTGACTTAGTCTTTTCTGTTATGTGTCACCTGTTAATAAACTAATCTACACACACTGTGGATTTCATCAGGAGGTCCCAGTGCCCTTTGCAGATCATAAGTCCGTCATTGAGCAGGTTCTTAACTGATGAGAGGTACGAACACAGCTTTGAAGAAGAACACTGATGTGGCTCTCAGACCTGCACGGAGCACAGGAACACCCACACACACCCACTGATCTTTTTGGTCCTGTTGACTGTCAGGCATGTATTTTGTTTTCCTCTTTCTCTCTCAGGAGGCGAGTCTGGCTGGCTTTGTGGTTGCTCCACCTGCAAGTGAAGCCCTCGTGTTAACAGGCTCCAGCTGCCACACCAGTTACCACTTTTTTACTAACCACAGTATTCAGGGGCTGGTTTGAGCTGCAATGTTCTGTATCTGCTGGTTTCATTTTCTGATCCTGTGCTCTGGTTTGCCCCTGGTGAAAAGGTTTATGTAATCTTTGTGGCAAAAGAGAACTGTTGAGCAATTTTAGATGTTGTGGTTGCATCTTAACCGTGCAGTCCTCTAACCGAGGTAGCAGTTTAAACAGAATCAGGATTCATAACAAGGGTTTTGAATATAACTTTTGTGTGATTAAGAACTCAAAACCCCACTGCATTATTTACTCCTTTGCTGAATACTGAATCTTTTAGAAGAGTCATTTAACAGCTTTTTGGAGGCACTGCATTTGTTGGACTTCTTGGATTCAAAACATTGCTAGAGCTTTAGAAAACAATCATCTTCTACCACAGTCTCCTTGATTTTATAAAGACTTTGCACTAAAGTAACACATTGCAGCAGTGTAGGGTAATGACACTGGGTCCAGGGATTTCATCCTGAAACTTGGCAGTCAGGGTGCTGCTGCCTGTCTCCTGTAACCTTGTGCATGCTTGTGAGACACAGCAAACCTTCTTTCCCACCACATCAATATTTAAACTGCACATCAATATGTGAGATGGCAAGTATTGACGTGGCATCTTAATCTAAACTTCCTACAGAGAAATAACAAGATAACAACACATAACTCACTCTTGATTATAATAACTAAGAATTCAAGGCAGAAAGCAAGGCACATGGCTGTGGGGCTGTGACAGAGCTGGCAGAAGATCCTTAAATATTGTCTGAGTCTAGTCTCTAGTTTATGCAATCCCCAATTTCCCATCAGCTTTGCTGCATCAATTTTAACTTTGCTGGGCACTTAGTGATTCTTTCTGTAGGGGAGGGATAGCTCAGTAGGTAGAGTGGTGGCCCCATGATCGGAAGGTCGGGGGTTCGGTTCCCCTGAACAACTACCCTGAGGTACCCCTGTGCAAGGTACCGTCCCTACACACTGCTCCCCGGGCGCCCAGTGGCTGCCCACTGCTTCACTGAGTGAATGGGTTAAATGCAGAGAGGGATTTTCCCCACGGGGTCCAATAAAGTACACTTTCTTCTTCTCTTGTTTCCTTTTTGCATCAGGGTATTGTTTACCCTCACTTTTACCAGCCACACTACACACAGAAGTGGGGGTAACAAAACATCCCTACTTAAACTTGTTTTAAGGGTTAGCCTAGCTTGCCAAAGAACATTTTTTAGTCATTTAAAACTCTATCAGTATATTAGCTATACCTAGCATACTTTTTTAGCCGTCCTATTACTGAACTGTTAGGATTCCACTCAGCAGTTATTATCTTCCTTCTGGACAAAAACAGCTCTAAAGAGATTTAAACTGAACTTGAACCCATGAACACAAATTAAATTAAAATCTATTCATGGCCCAGTTTCCAAAATGATCATTAATAAAGTCAGGCTTGAAGTCTTCAAAAAGACTCATGTTAAAATGTTTTCTATTGTCCTCAGCAGTTGTATCAGAGGCAGTCCTTTTTTTTTCTTAAGGTGATATTTTAAGAACATAAAGCTGCATGCAAAGTGTTGTGAGAGAATCACTTCTTTATTTAAGCGCGGGGGTTTACAGGTTTAAAGTCTGTTCATGCATGTTAAGCATGTACAGAGGAAGGAAGACAGCCAGATAACTCTGTTACATTTTCCAACCACAGAGAGCACGGTCTTCAGAGACAGCATCTTCAACACTGGCAGAAATCGTGGCTGGTTTACATCATGTTACATGTTGTGTGATCTACCTGCTGATGGGATTTATGAGACGAGAGGAGCAGCCATGAGTTCAACTGCAGCAGCAACTGGATTGGTTCTCTTCCTTCTCTCGCTGCCAGGTAATTCTGTAATAGTAATTCAGTCTTGAGGTAGATCACAACTGAACTGTTTTTGATTGGTTTTTACACCACACCATCTGCAGCACATAGCTGTTAAAGGTTTGCATTTCCAATACTGCAACTGAATATAGATTGTAGAAAAGTTTTTTTTATTTATTGTCTCCACTGCATTTAATGGACAAATACAATTTTCAGGCTGCTTTAACTTGGGTTGAAGTTTCTTAACAGAAACTAACAGATAAACAGAAAGTGAATTCCCAGCCATTTTCTTTTCTTTTCTTTTCTTTTCTTTTCTTTTCTTTTCTTTGTTTTTTGCACAAACACATGTTCCTGGTTCCTAAACATGTTTTGTAGATTATATTGTGAGATAAATTCTAGGCACACAGCGAAATTTGTATGTCACCTGAATAATTTACTACACTATATAATGGCCCTTTCATGCCACTGCAATTTATTTTACATAGACAACATTTGACAACATTTTGTCATATTTCTGTAATGGATGTATTATTCAAATTGTTATATTTGTAATACCAAACCCACAGATACCATTATTATTATCTTGTTTTTGGTTTACTGATTTACTGTTTTGAGTTTAATTCCACCGTCAGGCCGGGGTCTTTCTGTGTGGAGTTTGCATGTTCTCCCCGTGTTTGCGTGGGTTCTCTCCGGGTACTCTGGCTTCCTTCCACAGTCCAAAGACATGCAGTTAGTGGGGATAGGTTAATTGGAAACACGAAATTGCCCATAGGTGTGAATGCGGGAGAATGTGAGTGAATGGTTATCTCTGTCTATGTGTTAGTCCTGCAACAGACCTGCGACCTGTCCAGGGTGTACCCTGCCTCTTGCCGTAAGACAGCTGGTATAGGCTGCAGCCCCCTGCCAGCGAATGGATGGATGTACTTACTGTTTTGACTCATTCTCACAGCCTGCAAAGACTTGTTTTCAAAGAAAAATGGGGTGATCGTGGCTCAAGAGTTGGGAGTTCGTCTTGTAATCGGAAGGTTGCCGGTTCAAGCCCTGGCTCGGACAGTCTCGGTCGCTGTGTCCTTGGGTAAGACACTTCACCCGTTGCCTACTGGTGGTGGTCAGAGGGCCCGGTGGCGCCAGTGTCCGGTAGCCTCGCCTCTGTCAGTGCGCCCCAGGGTGGCTGTGGCTACAATGTAGCTGCCATCACCAGTGTGTGAATGTGTGTGTGAATGGGTGGATGACTGGATGTGTAAAGCGCTTTGGGGTCCTTAGGGACTAGTAAAGCGCTATATAAATACAGGCCATTTACCAAAAATCACATCATTAACTCACTCAGAAATTGACTGGATGAAGACTTCTGAATGGACAGATGATCTCTCATATGTAAACACCAAGAACAACAGCAACAAAAATACCTTCCTAAATACTTAATACCATATGTATGATAACAATTTTTTTAAGGAACAATAAATCTGTGCTGCTTATTCTGAGAAAAGGTTCTCAGAACTTTTACTGAAACAATATGTTTGTTGTTGTCATTAATCTAGTTTCTGATGTGTTCTGTGTTACAGTGGTACAGAGTCAGAATGATTATGCAGTGACTTACACTTCTACTCAGATCTGTGCTGTAAAAGGATCAACAGTGGACATAAGCTGCTCCTTCAAACACCCTTCAAGAGTAAATGTGTTAAAAAGAGTTTGGTTCACTAAAGGGAACAATTATAACCCTGAAGATCTGAAAACAGACCCAGTGTATGCAGGTCGAGTGTCGTACAGTTCTGACTGGAAGAGCTGCACTATTATGACAATCAGAGACCTGAGAGAGAGCGACTCAGCTGTGTACAAGTTCAGGTTTGAAACAAACCAGAAACATTTTACTGGTTTACCTGGAGTCACTCTGACTGTCACAGGTAACATTTTTAATTACACATCAGTCAGAAATTGTTATGAACATGACTGTGTGTGTTTGGATATGGATAATAGATGTCTAAGTTTCTGCTCTGATTTTATTTCTTCACATATTCAGCTCTTCAGGTACACGTGGAAACATCATCTAATTCCAACTGGGCAACACTGACTTGTCAGAGCAGTTGTCGACTAAATTATCATCCCTCCTACATCTGGTACAAAAATGGACACAAGATTTCTAGTAGAAACCAGTATCGGTATTCAGCCAATCTGAATCCTTCCGATAGCTACTCCTGTGCTGTAAGAGATTTCTCCTCTCCTTCAGTGTGTGAGTTTATTTCAGTTACATAAAACCATCTCATAGAGTCATTACATACATCTGAATAAAAACAGTCAAACTCACTGTGATTACTTACTTTAATCTGACTTAAATATCATTTTATGTTTCAGGTGTCCGAGGTGATTCATGCAACAGAGTGAATTACAGTAACAGAAGAATCTGTGCATTCAAAGGATCATCAGTGGACATTTCTTGTACTTACAACAGTTATGAAAGTTCAATCCAATCAAAGTCCTGGTTCCGTTCTGGTCGTGGATCTGAGGACCTCAGAGAAGACTCCCAGTATGCAGGTCGTGTTGAGGTGACTGAAAGAGAGAGAGGACGCTCCACTCTGAGAATCAGAGACCTGACAGAGAGTGATTCAGCCGAGTATCACTTCAAATTCAAAACACAAAGCTTTGAATGGAAGAGTAGTTTACCTGGAACAACTCTGACTGTCACAGGTGCTGATGAATACACACTGATGGATATTGAACCTCCTTTGACCTGGCATCCACATATGTGGACATCATATGTTCATTTTTTTTAGACCAAAATACTCAATTTCACTCTACAAGGGCCTGAAATCCACTTACGAGGACATTATACTGCTACTGTTCTATCGAAATTTTAAATCAATATCCTCATACGTGGCTCTCATTTTTCTTAGAAACAAAAATTAGGTTAAAAAAATCTTTTAATTCTTTGTTTTTACATTCATCAGGTCCCAATATGCCCAAATATAAAAGAGAAATTAAAAATGCATGCCGTGGAAGAGTTCAGGTCTTAGGAGGTTAATGTGGAACAACTTTATATTCTATGTGCATATTATACTGCACTTTTTTTTTTTTTTACTTTTGAGGATGTAGAACATGAATGATGGACCCGACCACATATTTACTCTTTTAACACTTTATTTCGGTTGCTGTTTCCTCTAATCTCGGCTGCAGC